TTGACACGCCGGACGACAAGGCCTGGAGGAGTGGGACAAAATGGTGGCGCGGGGCTTTCAGATCCGACATAAAGATGGACATGCTTGGAGTAGACGGCGTAATAAGCACACCAATGCCACTATGAGAACACAAACATGCTTGGACCACAATTGCCCTCTGGTCACCCGTGAAGACATCACTCCAAGTAGCATCCCCACAGTGTCCAATGTTTTACACCTTTAGATCAAATCAATGTTTCTCAAAATCATCGAATATCTTGAAATGCCATGCTGTCAAACCTGTCGCTTCTCTCCTCGACTCCATCTCCCACATCTCGGTCTCGCTACCCGAATGACTCATGACATCTCTTCTCCTCGCCTGCTGCTTGGAGGGCGCCCTCCTGGAACCCTGGACTGGGGGGGGGTGATTAGATCTTGTGCTGGGCTGATTTGGGGAAGTGAACGGTGCATTTGCACCAAGCAAAGACCAACCAACGCGAAAGAAACTGAAGAGTTCACCCCTAAGCCAGCAAACCCAGCTTGTTGAGAAACCCTCACCGAGCAATGCCATCAAATAACCTGCTTTAAGTTGTGACCAAGAAACCGATCGCTCAAAAAAAATAACAAGAATGTTGCACTGAAACAATGTGCAACAAAATGGCTGATTTAGTCTACGAAACGTGCATTCTTCACTTCTGGACCGTCCATTGGCAAGGAAAAAGAAGCGGGAGCTTCATCTCGCAGATCCAGGTCCCCCCAGCGGGTTGGGCGTCTCATCCTTTCGAACTCCCCCTGCCGCAAAGGCTCCAGCTGAGAAAGAGATGTGTCTCCAGATCCCAATGCCTAAATTAATATGTCCTTTGAACCATTTCAAATTTTGAACCCAAATTCACAATATGTATATATATATATATACGATGTATTACTATGTATTATATGAATATATGACTACCAAGTTGCCAAGTCCTTTTCGCTGCTTCAAGTACAACCTATCCAATAGGAGCAAGACATGTCTATATCCGCTGATTCGGATCTTTTCCGTTCGCTTCGACCGTGCGGAATCTCGCCTTCCCGTGGCTTCTTTGCTTTAGCCTTTCTTTTTGGCCTGGAACATTTTTGCATGAATCACTTGGCGGCACAATTATATGGATTGCGAAACCTGTCGTGCATGGATTTTATTGAGTGTCCAATCATCCTGCCTGTCTGGCTCTGGATCTGCCTCCACGGCCTCCACCTGCCGCACGGATATCTGCAAGCGTGCTTTCGTCTCACCCTCTGAAACCCTGCAACTAACGTGCAATTCTTGACAATTCGAAGCTTGACTCCTTGATCAACAACCCAAACACACTAGCGAGATGTGTGACCCTATACCTCTATCAAGGCACAATCTGATCTACAAGCCATTTTTCGCAGCCCCCTCCAAGTGAAAGAACAAAAGCCACAGCCCCACAGCCCAGACCCAACACACCTTAGCCGAGTATTGCTCAAGCAAAGTGGATCAGAATCGATCGCCCGCCTCCTCTGACAGCACAGCAGCAGTATTGGCGGCTTCTGCAGGTGCTTCAGCTGCTGTCGATGGCTTAGCATTTCCAAGTTTCGCAGCCAACACCTCCTGAAACTCATCCTCCTCCTGGCAAAGTTCGTGAGCTGCCACGATGGCATGGCAAATGCATCCGGCTGCTTTGGAATCTCTATCTTTTGCCCAACAAAGCAAAACAAGGTGAGAATGTCCGGCCTCGAGATCTGCCCAGCGGGATACGTCCAAGCTAGCTAAGCCCTTGCGAGCTTTGGGCTTGGCCTCAAAGTCAAATTCTCTGATCACCAAACTCCCCAGAGATAAGAGTGAAAGCCAAACAAGGTATGTTTAACAAGTCAGACAGTTTAAGGCTTTAAGCTGTATCCTCTAGTCAAGACACCGTGCCCTTTTTTCGTTGAAAGGAGTGGCTCAGTTCTCGGTTCCCTTTCCCGTGGCTTTCAAAGGCGGATGGCTGATTCACCATGTAAGAGGACACCTCCCTTGAGGCCTTTCAACCCCAAACAACTGTGATTGCACTGACACCCACGTCTCGTCCTGGTGCATCTAAGACAGTCAAGCTCCGCCTTATCCAGCTTCTCGGCTTTCTCCACCTTCTCGAGCTTTTTGGAATCTCGTGGCACCTTTGAAGCAGCTGGAGCAGCTGGCGCCTGCTGCTTCGGGATGGGAGCGATTGCTAAGGCGGACATTGGTTTCCTGCGAATGATCGATCATGATCTATCCCCAAATGTACCAAGCGTTTTGCTTCGTCGCCTTGAAAGAACGTATGTACAGAATAAAATGCATCCTATAGGATTCATCCTCAGGCGGTCTCCAATATGGAACAATGTTACAACTTGAGGCCAGCGGGAGGGAGGTCGAAAGCTAGCCAAAGCGATAAGAGTCAACCACAACAGCAGCAAACCAGCAACAAAACAGCAGCAACCCACCAGCAGACCAGCAACAGCCCAGCGCCAAAACAGCAGCAGACCAGAAGCAGCCCAACAAAAGAGCAGCACATCAGCAGAACAGAAGCAGAACAGCAGCAAAGCAGCACGCCAAAGCGGAACGGCAGCACAGTAGACCAGCAAACCAAAACTGCGACCAGAGTCTACAAGCCGCCAGAAGCGACCCGTAAGCATTCCAGAAAACCAGCAAAACTGCACGGCAATCCAACAGCACAGCGCAACAAATCGGCAGCAGATCAACACTGGGTTTTCGTGACATCGGTGTCTGGAAGCAGGTGTCCGAAAAACCTTCTGAAAGCACGCAAAAAGGATCTCTGGCGGAACACATTCGTTTCAATATATAATCTTCATGTTTCTTGGGGTGAGGTTGCGTCAATGACGACACCTGCATCATCTGAAGTCTGCTAGTCTTCACAACAGGATTGCCTATGCGTCCCCTCTCAGAGTTAACCCCCCTGGCTGTGAAATGTAAAGCTTTAGGGCACAAAACTCATCCCAAAACAATTCGCAAAGCAAAGAAAAATTCAGCATCACACCTGTTTTCGTGACAAGCAACTAAGACCACAACACAACACTCACTTGTTGCCCACAAACCTGAGATGCCTCTTCATCTTTTGACTGCTCCGGCACCACTAGTATATACACGGTGTGGAGGAGCAACGCGGCAATGGACGCTTCAGGCAGCCAAGGGGAGTACTTGACCTGCAAGTCACTGTGCCACTCCACAAGTGAAAAAAGAGCCAAGTCAAAGATGACGCTGCTACTGCTCTGTTCATAATGTTGTTCGTAAGCTTGATATGTAGATGATTCAACTCCGATGCAAAGGATGAGCTTGTTTTTTCGTGCTGATTCAGCGGCAAGTGCCAGCAGCTGGCGGATGTCTGTGATTGCAGGAAAGCGGCAAAGAATTTCGAGATGCCGATGAGAACAATGAAGGCCACCTGACAAGACTCTTTTTTGGACCTGCTCTGAAAGAGTCTATAACTAGGATGATGCAACTTCAATTCTTTGGAGAGGACAAACAGGATTTTCTGAACAAAAACACATCTCTCAGCTTTGCCATTTAGGAATGCGGCTTTTTGTGCCTCTCATTTGCCCAGAAATGTTCATCAGCACAGCGGCAAAGCGTGTCGATGAGCAGCCCAAGAAACAACTCTGTGAGCTTGCAACTGAGCTTGTTCTATAAA